ATATTTGGAATTATTCAAATTTCGTGGCTGAAAACATACATAGGTATTGAATTCTCGAAACCGAGAGAGTTGTGCGAAACTAAATGTGTACAGGACATAGCTAGTACCATGCGAAACATCGCCATATTTTTAAAAATGTTGTCATCGCCGTTCTTGGGGGTGAAAATTCGAAATATTTAGAATTATTCAAATTTCGTGGCTGAAAACATACATAGGTATTGTATTGAAACCGAGTGAGTTGAACGAAACTAAATCTGTACAGGACATAGCTAGTACCATGCGAAACATCGCCATAATTTTAAAAATGTTGTCACCGCCGTTCTTGCGGGTGAAAATTCGAAATATTTAGAATTATTCATTTTCGCTTACCGTTCTTCGCCTTCCCAATCCAGGTAAATCTTCAAACTTTTTAGATACTTTACTTATTGTAGCTCGACTAATTCTCTGGTCTGGATACTTATGGTGAAATAAGTCACATACCTCCTGTTGACTATGGATTTTATCTCCGCATCCAATCATAATTAAAATTTCAATTATCTGATTTTGCAAAATAATTTAACAACGAATGAAAAGAACTAAAAAGATTCACGTTATATCTGAGGTAGGTACTCTGGTGAATTTTATGTGTTTATCGATGTGTTTTTTTTTAGGAAAAGAAAGCTTTAAAGTAAGTAGAAAAAAAATAATAAAGAGTAGGTACGTTTTTTAAAGTACAGAAGAGGCTATGATTGAAATAGTGGTCAGTACGACATAAAAGACAATTTTTTTCATTTTTTTTTGACAAAAAAATTGTTATAACCTTATATCTCTGAATATATTATAAAATAAAGTGTCCCAATCAAATAGCAAATATTGCAGAAAACAATTTCTATTTACTAATTGACCCGTTTCAGCGATTTTTTAAATCTGAACTTGAAGAAAAATATGAATTTTGTTCCATCATGCCATCATTATTTATGGAATATTTTGAAAACAACTGTATTAATAATGTAAACAAAAAAAACTATGATTTGGTGGAGATTGATGATGCTTTCGCAATTTGGCCTTCTAGTCCAATTAAATAAGCTTTAAATCGAAATTTTGGTCAACTTGCTTGAATTTTTGATATGAGTTAGTTTGAGGTATATTATAACTATAAGTGACAAAGTTGTAAAGCATACAATTCTACATAAAAATGGCCTCTTGACTTTTTCTTGTACTATTAAAATTAACAGAGTCTAGAACAAGGGTCGGCATCTGGCGGTCCGCGGTCCAGATCCGGACCGAGGAAGGTAAAATACTGGACCGCCAAAAATGTTTTGAAAATATAAATTACTCAAATAAATTATATAAAAAATATTTTAATAANAAAACATACATAGGTATTGAATTCTCGAAACCGAGAGAGTTGTGCGAAACTAAATGTGTTCAGGACATAGCTAGTACCATGCGAAACATCGCCATATTTTTAAAAATGTTGTCATCGCCGTTCTTGGGGGTGAAAATTCGAAATATTTAGAATTATTTATTTTCGTTTACCGTTCTTCGCCTTCCTGATCCAGGTAAATTACCAGGTACTTATTGCAGCTCGACTAATTCTCTGGTCTGGTTACTTATGGTGAAATAAGTCACATACCTCCTGTTGACTACGGATTTTATCTCCGCATCCAATCATAATTAAAATTTCAATTTTCTGTTTTTCGCTGAAACAGGCAACCATTTTTCAAAATAATTTAACAACGAATGAATTGGAACTAAAACGATTCACGTTATACCCAAGGTACTCTGGTGATTTTTATGTGTTTATCGATGTGTTTTTTTTTAAGTAAGTAGAAAGAAATTAATAAAGAGTAGGTACGTTTTTTAAAGTACAGAAGAGACTATGATTGTTTGAAATAGTGGTCAGTACGACATAAAAGACAATTTTTTAAATTTTTTTGACAAAAAATGTAGGTATAACCTTATATCGCTGAATTCGTCCTTAGAATATACATATTATAAAATAAAGCGTCATTTTAAAAAAAAATTTCGATAATGTCTGTCAAACATGGCTCAATCAAATAGAAAATATTGCAGAAAACAATTTCTATTTACTAATTGACCCGTTTCAGCCATTTTTTTAAACTGGAAGAAAAATATGAATTTTCTTCCATCATTTTGGGAGACACTGTATTTATGGAATATTTTGAAAAGAACTGTATTAATAATGTAAAAAAAAACTATTATTTGGTGGAGATTGATGATGTTTTCGCAATTTGGCCTTCTAGTCCAAAAGCCGAAATCGAAAT